TATACAGTAGCACTCCTATTTTAACACCCTTGTGTACACCTTCAACCATCCCATTTCTACTGTTGGCAATGAAGATTCTTACAATAATGTGTATTGTTGAAACGTATTCTCTTATTAATGGAGATCTTATCATAGTGTATATTTATAGCAGCGAAAGGACACTGAGTGGGGCCTGAATGTGGAGAGGCCTTGCAGATATTGTCTTAAATGATAAATGAAGGTGTTTTTCTTTTAAAAGATGCTAGGAATGCTTGGAAAGAAACAATGACAATCATTTGAAATAGTCTATCAGAGTTAAAAATAATTAAAGCTGAAGTGAAAGTTAGAGGACCTCTTCTCTGTAAACCAGAGACTTGAGTCTCCAAGGGAAAGGTTTGAGAACCTGTATTCCTGGTTTGCAGAATGAAAGGCCTGCATGAGCTAGGGTGCACACGGGCGAGTGAGTGCAACTGCTATCGAAGTAAAAGACAGCGTTTTGAGCTGATCTGTATGGAGCTATCTGGAATTTATCTCAGGCAGACCCAGGCCAGATGTGGATTCGTCTCTTGTGCTTCCCGGCGCTTATTTTTCTGAAGTTCCCGCTGAAACCCTTTAGTTTTCTTCTTTAAACAAGGGGGTGGCGAAGCTCAGTGCACGGAAGTAGAATGGAAAGTCTCGCTGTGAAGCACCTGGTGTAGGTGGCTTTGACGTGAAAGCTCAGTTTCACTGTTGACAGCGTGGAGCTGCTCCAGGCTCCTGGCACGCCCTCCTCCCGGACTGACCTGGAGAGGAGCAGCACGCAGAGTGCAGAGCGTCAGATCGAAAACATGAGGAACCAGCTCACCGATTCAATGTGCATACTTAGAGATGTCCATGCACAACATTCAGGTTAAAAGCATCCCTTATTCCGACAACAACTATTAATTAAGCCTGACTGTGTTTGAGTTACAGTGCTCACGGAATGAGGTCTTCAACCCCTGTGATTTTTTCCCCCTCTCCCCTTAGAAAAACAAAGTCTGCCTTTTTGGGTCTAACGTTATTTATTTTACTCATTTTAAACGAAAACCTATTTGGAACTGTATTGCATATTTTCAAGATTTCTGAAGTAGATTATGTGGAACATAATTAGATCCTATCTCCATGACTCACCACTCATCACTCACAGTATCGCCGCCTGGCAAGTCTCCATGCGTTAGTACAACAGACCTCTCCCATCTAATGCGCTACCTCTGTCTACACAGCACATTGGCTGTGATCTAAAAACCAGATAACACCGATTATCAAAGCTATTTAAAGAGTCAACACAACCTGAGCAACCGCCTGAGTGCCTCTCTCGGGAAGTAGAGTGGTTGTGTTTTAATGACGAGCTTCACAGCTGCTCTTTCAGCTCCTGGGTCTCTGGACAAAGGTTCTTCAGGATCCTGGCGAGAAGCCCGACGTGGAACTGTGTGAAATATTCCTGTACTTAAAGTTTAACACCTCTGCAGTTTAATTTAAAACAAGTTATTAAACAAATTACATGCTATAATGTACATATTTTGCATTTTGTGAGTGTGCAAGTTTGATACCGTATGTACTGTTTTACAATGCGTTTTTATACGGGCTAGCTTTCCTGCCCCAAGGGGATTAAATCACTGGCATCAGTTCTATTTCCAGAACTTTCCATTTCTTCTTCTTCTTCTTCTTCTTCTTCTTCTTCTTCTTCTTCTCTTTTTTTTCTTCAATCTTCACTCAATATTTTTTCCCATTGATTTTTAGAGAGTGGGAGGGGGAGAGTCAGAAAGCAACATCGATGTGAGAGAGACACATTGATTGGTTGCCTCCTGCAGGTGCCCAGCACGTGCCCTTGACCAGAATCGAACCCGGGACCCTTCAGTCTGCAGGCTGATGCTCTATTTGCTGAGCCAAATGATCTAGGGCTCTATTTATTCTTTACTGTTACCACATTACCAGCCCCATATAATGTGCTTAAAAATTCAAATAACATATTCTGATAACTAAATCATGATGGTTATGAAAAATGTATAACTACATAATGGCACTGTATCTAAAAACTAAAGTAGGATTTTTTTTTTTTGTAGTAAGCCTTGAAAATTGTTTTTTTAACGTCTAGATTTGGTGTTTAACCCAGTTTTTCTTGTCCTTGGGTACTTTGAAGTGTAAAGGAACCCTAGCTTTTACAGGTTTCGCTGTCTCTATTCTGGTAGGCATTGCTTTGGAAGGGGAGCTGCAGAGTTAAGCTGGCTGGTCTTGTCCCCTCAAGGGCTCTGTTAATGACAGAACCTAAGAATGGCTGGCACTGCTTCAGAATTAGGGCCCCCAAAGATAATCCAAATATCTACTGTGCTCATAATTTTACCACCTTTTCAACTGCCTTATTTTTTCATGTACTAATTATTGTCAAGATGTACCTAGAGGCACCAAACCCTTTAGCTAGCACTGGCTTTAGGACTCGATATATATTGATGTGTACTGATATGCCACATATTGATATTGCTATGCTGATAGTATTAGGATCCTAACTGAAAGCTTTGTTACAAGACTAATGAAAGGAAATGTTAATTAATCCTGAGATGATCTCCCTTTTTCCTCTAGATGACAGCAATAGAGATGCTGCAACCTCCTTCATCTTCCCACATGAAGCCGGAATCTGAGTCTACCTACGGGCGAGTCCCTGGCCTGCCTTTCAAACCAGATTCCCCGCTTAAACCCTATTATGTCGACATTGTGGCGATGTCACTGCACAGGGATGGGAGATACCTCAGGAGAGGAAAGAAAACCAGTGCTTTAACAACCCACCCATCCATACATGGAGGCGTGGGAATGTTTTGGTGACAGGTGGAAATATTTGAAGGGGTTACTTGTTTACTCAGAGAGTACCGTATTTTCCGGCGTATAAGACGACCCCCTAATTTTACAGTTAAAACATAGGTTTAGGCCTATATTCGCTGTATAAGACTACCCCCCACTTCCGAGGCAATACCAGTTCTTTTTTTAATAGACCGCCTCTCTGACTCTGGCCAATCTGAGTAGGCTTTTTACTAGAACACAGTGTAGCTTCGGGTACAGAACATGTAGAACACAGTGTAGCTTTGGGTACAGAACATGCAGAACACAGTGTAACTTTGGGTTCAGAACATGTAGAACACAGTGTAACTTCGGGTTCAGAACATGTACACTGTGTTCTAGTAAAAAGCCTGCTCAGATTGGCCAGAGTCAGAGAGGCGGTCTATCAAAAAAAGAACTGGTGTTGCCTCGGAAGTGGGGGGTAGTCTTATACAGCGAATATAGGCCTAAACCTATGTTTTAACTGTAAAATTAGGGGGTCGTCTTATACGCCGGAATATACGGTACTCGATTGTGTAGGCTTGAACCTTTACACAGCTCATAGCTAACCCCAACCTCCATGTGGCCCTTCCATCTGCACAAAGGGATTGTCACATGATTCGCCCCACTGGGCTGCTGTGAGATGATGTGTGGAGGAAGCTTGGCCAGTGACTTGTTCCTACCTATAAGTGGATGCCGGATTGATTATTTATTTATGACCCCCACTACCATGAACCATTGTGGGGGTGGTAACAGAACAGATGTATTTTTCATTCACTTGGTAAACACCAGCTTCTTCCCTCTTTCCCCAGATGTCAACTGAGTTGCTGTGAGGATCTCATGCCCCAAAACTGATTCATTCACTCAGCCAGGTGTGTGGGGGTGGGGACAGGGCCACCCCAGGTGCCAGGGCAGCCTGGTTTGGACGGTGGATGAGCTCAGGTGGGCTGGGGAGTTGGTAGGAAGCAAGGATTTTCCCTCCCGCAGGTAAGGAACTGCTTACTGGCTGCTTCAGGACTGTCTATTGCACATGTGTCAAACACAAGGCCCGGGGGCCAAATCCGTCCCGCCAGGCCTTGCAATGTGGCCCGGACCGCGCTGTCATCACTGCACTCCGCTGCGTTTCCATCACAATGACAGTTTATGACTGTTCAGTAAACCATTCGGCCCGCGATTTAGGCTGGATTTTAGATTTTGGCCCCTTCTCTGATTGAGTTCGACACCCCTAGTATTGCCTCCTGAAGCCTACCACGCGCCCACCTGAAGTCTGGTGCCAGAAGGGGACTGGGAGCATTTCGGTGGCCGGGCAGTAGAAGGAGCTCTGCACCAGGTATCACATGGCTGGTTTCTCCCTCTGGTTCTGCTGTGGCTCAGCCGAGGAGCCTCTGCCGGTGGCTTCTGCAGAGGCGGAGAGCTGGCGTCTTCTATGGAACCCTGATTCCTCTCCCCAGTCCCCTTCCTGATGCCGAGAACTGGAGATTGGGACACTTCTAAACTCCCCATCCCGCAGAGAGGTGCTGGAGCAGTGACAACTGCAGGCACCTGAGGCCCCCGGGTCTGTGCCTGTGCCTGCGCCTGTGTTTGTGCCTGTGAGTGGCTTTCATTACTCCACACCCCACTTGCTTGTTTTCCATGCTTCCCCCGCTTCCTCTCCGGGCCTCCCAGCGGCGTCCAGGATCCCTGCAGACATCCCTTCCCCGCCGGGACAGGGTCTTCGGGTTAACGGGGCTCTCACCTTCGCGGGGAAATAAAAGCTCTGTTATAACGGATTACAGAATCCGCTCTCCCTGGCACCATTCACAAAGTTTCCGTGAGTAAGCCGGTCCCTGGAGGGGAGGGCAGCCCGGCGAGGGTTAAGGAACCCGGCCGGCGCGGGAAGGGAGGGAGCCCGGGGCGCTCGGTGCTGAAAGAGGAAGGACCATCTCCTGTGGAACAGACCCCCGGCCACCCCGCCCTGGGTGTTTCAGCGCTCCCCTAACTTCGCTGGATCTCGGGGACCCGTCACGTGCAAAAAGCCGCCCACCTGCAGGGGGACCGGTCCCTGCGCCCCGGTCCGAGGGCGCCCTGCTCCGGCCGGGCAGAGGCGCGAGCTGCAGAGGGGGCGCTGGGGGCGCCGGGGGGCGGGTGGGCGCAGCCCCGCGGCCTCCGCCGCCGCCGCCGCCGCCGCCGCCGCTCCGCCCGCCGCCGCCGCTCCCCGCCCCCCGGGCCCCGGAGGCTCCGCGGCCACCGGAGCGGGAGGTGGAGCCGAGCCCGCGGCGGCGGCGGCGGCCGGGCAGGAGGGAAAGTTCGGGCGGCGCGGGAGCCGCAGGAGCCGGCGGGGCAGCCCGGGGAGCCTCGGGGTGAGTGGTGTCCCCTCCCCTGACCTTCCCGGCCGGCCGGGTGTGGCCCGCGTGGGGGCAGCGGCGGGGCGGCTTCCCGGCTCTGCAGCCCGCGACCTCGGGGAGGCTGTGCAGCCTGGAGTGGGGTGCGGCGCCGGCCTCCCGCCTCCTGCCCGCGGGGCTTTGGGCTGCGGGCTGCGGGCTGCGGGCTCCGGTCAGCGGAGGGGACTCTGCGCCCTGGGAGGGCTACGTCTTCGGGGGGACGGGCGGGCGGGGATACGCGAGGGGGAGGCTCCCGGGAGGGTCCGGGAAGGGCTGGGACCCTCTGAGTGTCCCTTGGCTTCGCCACCTTTCCGGTGGCCTGTAGCTGCTGAATGTCTTCCTCCTGAACCCCTAAAAAAGTGGCCGTGGCCCGTGCCCGCGGGGCTGCTCGGCGGGGCTGGGGTGCGGGTTCTGCAGCGATGGAGAGGGTGGCGGGGGCGTGCGCGGGCGGCGGGCGGGCAGCGAGCTCTCTCTCCCGCCGGGGACCGGACCCCGGGCTCCTGACCGTGACCCGGGATGCCCTGAGGAAGTGTTTTTTGCGAGGTCAGCAGCTGCTAGGAGCTATTTCAGGGCGGGGCTTGGGGGTGCCGGGGTGCGCAGGGCGGGAAGGAGGAGGAGGGAAGCTGTGCCAAGAGGAGGCAAAGTTGTTGTTTCCGCCACGCTTCCTGCACCTGCACCGCCGTCCGTGATGGCGAAGTTATCTTTTCATCGGTGAGCAAAGACAGAGTGATGGCAGAGGAGGTTTGAACAGCACCGTGCATGCTGAAACTGTAAACACTAATAAGTCGTAGAATGGTTACTTAGCATACTCCACTTTTATTCTGATTTCAAAGCCTCAGTATTTTTACATAAATGTCATTAGATGGGTCTAGACGATAAAAATAACTGTTCCTTCACACCTTTTTTTTTCCAACTAGACATTTAAATGTAATTCTACCAGATTTCTTGGATTTTGCGAACAGTGTTCATACAAGAGAGTCATAATTATCAATCCTGTTACTTGTAACAAGGAACATTAGTAAGTCCCGCGCAGTGTTGTCATGTTGCTAATTGGAAGGAGAAAAGTCTCTCAATTGGAATTAGAGGCATACAGCAAAAAAACGAAAGCCTTAGTCACAGCAAGGGACCTGACAGTGTGTGAGTGTGGAATAGGAAATGAGATTGTGGGTTGTGTACCTACAGAACAGCAGCTCCTGGGAAGCCAGGGAGGGGCCCTCCGTACCCAGTAGACTGGAACCCAGGATCTATTCCATACTTTCTCTGCATTGAACTGCCATGCGACATGGGCTCTAAATGACACGGTGTTGTTCAGCATTGTGTTCCAAATCGCATATGTCTGCTTGCAAACGGTACTGCTGGGGCTCAAAGCAAAGCGTCAATCGTTTGGATGCACTGAAGCGAGCGTTTGCTCTGCCATCCCAGATACCTGGCTTGCAAGTGGCCTCTGCCATTTAGTAACTGTATGGCCCAGGGTGAGTCACTATTCTTCCCCAGCCTTGGCTTCCCATGTGGTAAAATGCCAGCACCGTCCCTCCCCGTATGGAGATGCTGTGCCCCATGAAGTAACATTTAGGAACTTAGTCCAATGGCTGGAGCACAGTAAGAGCTTCCTTTGTCAATGCTGCATTTTGTCTTTTTTTACTTTTAGAAATCCCCAATTCCGACCTATTTCAACATTTTTTTAAAATTTAAAATTCTGCCGAAACCGGTTTGGCTCAATGGATAGAGCGTTGGCTTGGAGACTGAAAGGTCCTGGGTTCGATTCCGGTCAAGGGCATGTACCTTGGTTGCGGGCATATCCCCAGTAGGGGGTATGCAAGAGGCAGCTGATCGATGACTCTCTCTCATCAATGTTTCTAACTCTCTATCTCTCTCCCTTCCTCTCTGTACAAAATCAATAAAATATATTTAAAAAAAATTTAAAATTCTTTTTTCTTTGCAATCTTACTTTTCATTCATCCATTCAGTTTCCATTTGTTGAACAACCTCAGAGGCTGCCCTCTGTCGATGTTTGAAAGTGAGGAGCTGACATGTTGAGGCTGGTGTGGGGGATCCTTCAGGTTGTTCCTGTTGGTGAGAATCCGTCCTAGGATCCTAGGATGATGAATCATACTTTCCGGTCTTCCTGTTGTCCTCGCTCTGTCCTCAATGTGATGTGATTACACGGGGAAAGAAGGCAGGGGACGCCCTGTGAGGGTGCTCTTCTCTCCTGTCTACCCCCTCTCCTTGCCCAGCTCCGGGCCGGGCAGGGTGGCAGGGCTCAATAAACATTTGTTGATTTGAAATATAGAACGTAATGGAGTTATTCTGCAGGCCACAGCTTTTTATTATTTATTTATTTTCATTTTTTTTTTTATTTCGGATGAAAGGGCCTTGGGATTCTAAATGATAGCCATGCTATATGTTAGGGCTAATAGAGGTTATTAGAGAAGCAAAGCTCAGGTGGCCTTTATTACCTATTGATTTTGCCCGGTGATGAAGCAGTCTTATGAAACGGCGGAGGCCAGACTGGAGCGGTGGCTTCACCACTAGGGGCCTCCTCTGCCTCGTGTATCACCCGGGCTGGCAGTTATGGCTGTTATTCCGTCCTGTAAGGCGGCAGAGGGCTTCACCTTCCTGGCTTCCCAACACGAATACTTTATTAGGAAAGAGCAACCTTGTGTGAAAAGCATTACCAAAGGCCTAACACTAAATGAAAGCCGTCTGAAATGACAGATTCGGTACCCTTTGGAATGACTTTAGATGCAAAGGCTTACAGGAGATTGGAGAATTGGGCTTTTTACTTTGCACACCCTTATATTCAAATATATGATTTTAAAAAACTTCCTAAAAATCAAATATAGGGTTTTGATCTAGAATTTTCAAGGTGTGTGTGTGTGTGTGTGTGTGTGTGTATGTGTGTGTGTGTTTTGGCGATGTGTTTGGTGGAGCTTATTTTTATCTTTTAAAATGGCTTTATTTCCTAGCAACAGCAACAATAGAGCTTCGTTGTAGGTAGAAAAGGAATCTTCTCCGGTCAGTGAAGTTCCTGGACCATTTATTTTATTTTTATGAGGGGACCACATTCAACTCTACCTTTAAAACATATGGTTTATTATATTCCAAGATGCATCATTGAGAAGCATGTTTCTTTTGTGAGTTTTTGAAAAACCCCCTCTTATTTCTAAAGTCCGAGTTGAGCCAAAACCGGTTTGACTCAGTGGATAGAGCGCCGGTCTGCATACTGAAAGGTCCCAGGTTCGATTCCGGTCAAGGGCATGTACATTGGTTGTGGGCACATCCCCAGTAGGGGGTGTGCAGGAGGCGGCTGGTCAATGTTTCTCTTTCATCAATGTTTCTAGCTTTCTATCCCTCTCCTTTCCTCTCTATAAAAAATTAATAAAATATATTTAAAAAAAATAAAGTCTGAGTTGAATGAAGTTAGGCTTGAGACCATGGAACAACTTTAAGGTGTGTTGGTGCTTTTATTTATCAGCTACAATGGGCTGTTTGGTAGGAAAAGTGCTAACAATGTAGGCAAGCAAACATTTCTACTGGAAATACCGCCATATCATTTGCAAATGAGTAAGGGAATACTCTATTTTCAGTGAAATTTACTGAATGCCATTGTAAAACAAGCAGTTAGAGAAGAGTTCAGTGTGTTGCAGGCCCATATCAAAGGGTTTCTTTTAGCAGAACACCCCTGAGTTCAGAGTGCTATCAGGCCTCCAATTCTGATTTTTCACCTGATAGGGTCTTGTAAAACAAGGCGATCTGATTTTTGCCGATTTTCTGTCCCGGTCTAGATCAGTATGCTTTAGGGGCACTGGGTGAGAGAAATAACTTGTGTGTGAAGGCTGCAGATCATTTTGATGATCCCTTCCCTCTGATGAAGCTAACGTTTTTTTGGATAATTTTCAGGATTCTGAGCATAGTAAACAGGACACAGATCCCGTTTGCACAAAGTAATGCTTCTGTAGCACGGGAAGAATATTGCTTTTGCCCTCAAACCTCTGGCTGGGGAAGGCTGTGGCGCCTCTCGGTTTCTCCCTTCTTCCCAGAATGACGCTGAGTCAAAGCCAAAATGTATAAAGCTGTATGCAGAACAAGGCGTTCCAGTTTGGACAAGAGCCCTGGAGCTGACCAAGATTATGGATGTGCGAGGTGGTTGGAAATGAACGAGTCTTTATACACGGGAGTCATTTTTAGGAACCTGCACTTGGGAGGTGCCTCCTGGGTGGACTGTTCACTAGAATTTTGCAATGAAACGTGGAACCTCTCACGTAGAGAACTATGAATTTTTGTTGTTGTTTTTAGATAATGCGGAACGTCACATCTGGTTCTCGCAGGGTCCTGGCTGGTACTTTGTTTCATTTTTGCACACAGGGACATTTGAGGTGATGGAGGAAGAGGGAAGCAGGAAGCAGAGTAGACGGGAATTGTTTATTTATATTGAACACAGGGTTCCCTGCCTATTTTGGGGGTCCCAAGGCACTTAGGTATACAGTGTTGCAGCTTAGGAATAGGTGTTGTTCACTGGTGATTTTGGAGGTATACTCACCCACTCTGTTAATGAAATGACAGTCATGTGATACATAACAATGTTTTGGTTAACAACAGACCAACTATATGACGGTGGTCTCGTAAGATTATAACGGAGCTCCCCTCGTGCTATCTACCCTGTTTCCCCGAAAATAAGACAGTGTCTTATATTAATTTTTGCTCCCAAAGACGCGCTAGGTCTTATTTTCAGGAGATGTCTTATTTTTCCATGAAGAAGAATATGGTACACATTTATTGTTAAATAAAAATAAAGAAAAATTTATTACCTGTATACAGTATGGTAGTACGGTAGTTGTCAACACAAACCAGACAAACTGTGAATTCTACCGTATCAAGAATTTACTCATTTATTCCCCTGTCTCCAGGTCTGTTTTTGTTCATCAGTTTATGTTGTTCATTATTTCCCCTAGATGCGTGAGATCATGTGATCCAAGAAA